CGGTTGCAATCGGTTGACATTAAATATTTCGGTTCGGTTACCCGACTAAGGAATTTTTTCTCGGTTCAAATCACTACGTATACGTATATATGTAGTGTAGATGAATGTATCTTTTTTTTACGTATGTATTTATTTTTTTTATGTACGTAGCACGTACGTATACGTATATATATTTTTTAATAATTATGTATATAATGGCAAATTGGACTACGTATCTGAGTACATAGCTACGTATAATTTCAAACCAGGTTATCTGTGGGTAACCTACTCAGTTTGAAACACTATGTACCATAATTAACTTTGATACATAAAATTTTTCAGTATATATAATTAAATTTCATTGCTTCAATGGAGCTCAATGGAAGCTGCAAATAGAATAATAGAGCTCTAAATAGAGACAAAGAAACCTGCATAGTTTTTGAGCTTCATAACCATTTAGCTCTACGTACGTTATGTTAGTATTCTGTTTGCAGAATGCTGACATAAACCAGCATATATTTAGCACTCTCAGTAATCAATTAACTAAACTGAAATACGTACGTAGTGTATGTATGTGCATTGAATAGGGTTTATGTACGTATTACAAATACGTACAGACTGATCAACACTACGTAATAGAGATTGATTTATACATATTAGTATCGGTATGTAATACATACAAGAAGATTTGGCCAGATTATTGATAAGTATACATACCCAACGAAACCTATAATTTAAAATACATAACAAAATAAAATAAAAATAAAAATGCCAAAACAAAATAAATGCACAAGACAGTCTCGAAAAACTATTACCACATATTGGAAAAATAAATCATCCTTTGCAACATATTAAATCGACCAATACTGCTTCCTACAAAAATGATAAACTAATAGCATTTAACAGTAATGCTAATAATGATAAGTCTATATTATTATCATTAGACACACAATTAAAAACAGAAACTGTTGATATACGTTTTAATACAACAAGACAATTTCTTCACCTTGTCCAGAATCAAGGGTATACAAAGATGGAGGCAAGTGAACCGTGCTATACCAATATTTGAACGAACACATCCTGGCAAGATAGCTCTGTTTATGTTTGATAATAGCAGCAATCATGATTCTTTTGCTGAAGATGCTCTTTTAGTCTCGTGAATGGGTATAGGAGATGGTACAAAAATCCGCTTCTTCGTGATGATATAAAACCTGATGATTCTGTACCTATAAAGATAGTAATAATGTAAACCAGCCTAAGGGGATTAGACGGGTTCTTAAAGAACGGAATTTATGGATATCAGGCCTTATAAAACGGTGTAATAAATGTAAAAAAAACAAACCTGATTCAAACAACACAAACTGTTGTGCATCACGTATTCTATCAACTCAACCTGATTTTGCAGTTCAAAAATCACGCATACAAGAGGTAAATAAATTTTTTTTTTTTTAAAAAAATATATATATATATATTTAAAATTATTTACTTACATATGTATAAATAATTTAGGTAATTGAAGCAGCCGGTCACATGTGCATATTTTACCCTAAGTTCCATTGTGAGCTTAATTATATTGAATCTTTTTGAGCTGAGGTAAAACGTTATGCAAGACTTAATTGTAATTATACTTTTAAGAGCCTCAAAAAAACTGTTCCAAAAGCATTAGATTCTGTTAGCTTAATGAAGATTCGCCGTTTTGCTCACCATTCTGCACGCTTTATGAGTGCCAATGAACTTGGACTTTCTGGAAAGGCTGCTATTTTTGCAGTAAAGAAATATCGTTCTCATCGTCGAGTTCCAGAAAAAGTTCTTGAAGAATTCATTCATGACTAAGATATTTTGTATAAACTTTAGGCCATTTGAATTTAAAACTTTGTTTAACTAGGGATGGGAATCGATTTTAAAATCGGATAACTTTATCGATTAATCGGATTAAAAAAAAAAAAAAACTACGATTAATTTAACTTAGCTTGTATCTTCGGTAAATTATTACAATATTATTATTGAGTTTATTAAGAACAAAAAAAAAAAGAATAACTATATCGAATTACATTTATTTTCGTAGTATTAATTATTTTTAGTATTTAAATAATATTTTATTTAAAAAAATATAAGTTATATTATAATAAATAAAAAATAATAACTTTATCAAATCATATTTATTTTCGTAGAATTAATTATTTTTAGTATTTAAATAATATATTTATTTTATTTTATTTAAAAAAATATATATTATAATAAATAAAAAATAATA